CTCTCGGGCATTCAACTCATTTTGTCTTAATCGTTAATCCTTTCATTTCACTTTACAATAATCCATCGCGATGTTTCTTGTGCTTAAGCGGGACGTTGAAACTACCGTTAATCCGTCCAAAAGTTACTTCTTAAAGCGATTAGGGATGGGATCGTCATTGTTTTACAGAGAACCGCAGAAACGAGATGACATTACATCTCGTAACTTCAATCTAGATGTATATTACACATTCTTTTAACACGACTGGCTTTTCCTAAATTCTCTTATGAACAATATAAAAGTTCACAAGATGTCGTAAAGTCGCCTAAAAAGCTATTGACATTTTCACCTTGTGAACTCTCGTAGTGTTTCGATTGACATTTATAGAAGATGTGTAAAGGCAGTACTTGCATAAAAAAGCTTTCGCGTGAATCATACGATGTTACCTATCGGATATTGAACGAACTTAAGAAAAAGGCTCGTATGTGAAAAGCTACTAAAAGTATGTTCTATTAATTATATATATTTCAAAAATAAAGTATAGCGGAACAAAATTAATTCTTGAAATTGTAACAGAGTGACACGTACTTGTGGAAACAAATTCGACCTAAATCATGTTTTTATTCAAAGAATGATGCCATTCACTGCTTGCGATCGGTCAATGAAAAAAACAAATTTCAATGCACACCATCGTTTTATACACATCGTTAACTCTCCCATGCATTTGATCCTAGTATGAGCAAACAAGTTCATTTTACATAACAATTACATATTGTCTTTCTGACTGGTGTAATGGTCTTCGTTTGAAATCTTTGAAATGCCCCAAACAATGAGAGCCACAAAGTGAGAGGCAGAGAAATCTATTTGTTCCTATGAAATTTTGAATTGTAAAAAAATCTGTAGTACATTTTCCCAGTTATTCGTGAGCTATTCTAGGAGAGGTGCCTCTGTAGAGTATTTGGCATGTACAAAATCGACTCTCTTAATGTTTGTCCCTTAAAAAGATCTTTAAATTACCGTTATATATTGACTTCGAATAGGGAGATTATCTTATACTTTCGCAATCGCTAAACGACGATTTCTGAAAATTAAAATAGGTACAGTAGTATGAGTATTCAAGATACCGCAGAGGATATCTGGAGCAAACGTTTATTATGTGAATTTTCATTTCAACCATTGGTGCATGAGAAAGTTCAACGATATCCTGAGAATTTTATATCGCTATTAAGTAATTTTGCCGTAAACCATATGGAAATCGTAATAGCCGTTTTACATCTACGCAAAGTGCGACAGCAGGGATGTACGGGAGCAGGAATGTTTTTCTTTTTTTTTTTTGCAAGAGTCGCAAAAAAATCGGTTTTGCATTGTCAATAATTTCACATTCACCGTAGCGGCAAAATTCCGCCATCGGCGATGCAGGAGATAATCGATTCAAATACTCATGCTGACCTTCGCATAGATTTTATTACGAAAAGTTGCTTGGCGAGATAATGATTTCTTAGCATAGAGACAGAGGGACAATTCTTCGGAAAAATACAAAGTATATCTTTGTTCTTTTTCTTTGTCTTTGTTTCAAACGAAACTGTAATCATTATATTTATAAACCCAGAATATTCGCCCGAACCTCGGGACGCGCAGGCGAAATCTCTGTTTCTCTCTCGTCTGTTCGCAAAAATCTGAAAGACATTCGTCGTCGAAGGTTGCGCCACGAGACTCGGCAAATCGATTAATTCGTCGACGAAATGAAGAACGGACAAATCTGAATCGTTCATCAGCGGCAAAGTATTCTATTGTCACGTACGAGTATGCGTAGTGGAGTATGCGATCGTAAGTGCTACCAGCGACGTAACTTGTAACTTTCGCAAAAGATAACAATTGCGCCGGGAGGAAATTGACGTGAGACTCGTGCCGTGAGATGACGATACATTTCCGAGCCGCGAAAACTTTTAATAGAGCTCTAAAAAAATCTTTTTCTTTTTTTCAAATTTTCAAATTTACCCCTCGTCGTTCCGGATACGTGAATTACTTTCGTGAAAAATTTCCAAATTTCCAAATCTGTCTCGTTGCAAGCGCGGGATCGGCGGCGCTCAATTTCGCGGCACGAATCTTTACAGATTCCCCGTGATACAATGATACTAACTATTAATAGTTATTAATTGATTAATAACCATTAAATCGCGCGCGTGCGACGCGCGTATTGCGCGAGACGCGCGTATTGCGCGAGACGCGCGTTAAAACGCTCTCGATGCGATGTGTACAGCGAAAAAAAAAAAAAGGAGAGAGAGAGAAAGAGAGAGAGAGAGAGAGAGAGAAAGAAAAAA